GCGAAAACCCCCCCCCCCCCCCAAGGGGGATGGCCACGCCGCAATCCCTTCTTCTCCATTCTCCTCTTGGGATCTTGGGCATGTACACACACACACGCGCCCGGCGTGAGTTTAAGCTACTGGGTCTGGGACTTGAACCGTGGTCGGCTACATGGGAGTTCAGTGACATAGCCATTATGCTAACTGCTGTTTCCTATGCCCAGTTTTTATGTTGGACTGAGAATTGAATCTGGGCATTTCATGTGGTCCCATCCTGCAAAGCACAGCATCTAAGCAGCATGTGCGACCATGTCTGGGCTCAGACTTGAGTTTTGTAGCTAAAATTATATCAGTGGTAGTTCAGTCTACATAAATTACCTTGAAAACATCTTTTAGCTTATGTTCATTTATTAAGTAGAATTCATCATTACATATTTTTTATACGTATAAATAAGAAATTTTGCAATTTGCTAATCTAGTTTTTTTTCTTTTCTTTTGAAGAGGTTTTTGCTATAGGGGGAGTGCACTCGCCAGAAAGACAGAGAGAGACGGAGAGACAGAAAGCGAGAAATCACCCCCCAGAGGGGATGGCCACGCTGCAATCCCTTCTCCTCCATTCTCCTCTCGGGATCTTGGGCACGCATGCACACGCGCCCAGCGTGAGTTTAAGCCTCTGGGTCCGGAACTTGAACCGCGGTTGACTACGTGGGAGTCCAGCGGCATAGCCATTGCACTAACTGCTGGTCCCCATTTTTTATCTTTTTTAATGAGAGAATATGTGAGAGGGAGAGAGGGTTGGGGGTGGTGGTGAAACGAGATATAGATATTTTTGATAGGGTCTTTCCATGTTATGATATTCCTACCCTAGCCTCCCAGTTGGTGAGTGCTACAGGCATGTACCACCATGCCTGACCTGTTTGAGGCTGGGTTGGGAACCAAACCTGGGCCCCTCATGCAGCCTAAGCCATCTTGCATTGGCACCTTCCACTATCTCCACGTGGGCCTGGTAATGTAGCTCTTATATGGTTTTAGTGTCTCTTCCTTTTACCAAGATTAGTCTTTACTGGTTTTCTGATGTAAATTAAAATATTATTTTTACTTAACAGTGGTTGGTTCTGCACGTGCACGGCCTAGTCAGCTTCCTGAACAGTCTTCTTCTGCACAACAGAATGGTAGTGTTTCAGATATATCTCCAGTTCAAGCTGCAAAAAAGGAATTTGGACCCCCTTGTATGTAAATTATGTATCAAGGATTCAGTCATTATAAGCATACATGTATTCTCTCTTGGTCATTCTTACAAATCCCTGAATGATAATCTCATTACAAACTTGACTGCACATTTCCTTTTATCACTGTGGAAAATTAAATTTTTTTCTTACTAGTTTAGTGTTTTAATTGGGTATTTTAATATATATATATATATTAGAAGGAAAAAAATTTTTTGTAATTATAAAATTATAACAATATCAGTTGCTTTGAATTTAAAATTCTAGCCAGATAGTACTTTGTCGATGTTACAGAAGAAAGTCTGTGTTTCTTGATCCCTTCACCTCAAAGATCTGTGATTCTAAACCAAGAGATGACATGTATCAATATATTTGAGTCATTTCTATTGACTCTCATTTGTATATTGTCCTGTTCCTAGTTTTATTAAAGCAGCTCATAAGTAAATCTCACATGGTCGTTATAGGCATGCTTTGTCACTGTGTACTTTTTTTTTGTATATGTGAAATTACACATAAACTTTTTATGTATAAATACAGTACTCTAAAAATGAAAATTAGACTTCTACAGCTGATCTTTTTCTTCTAGCACGTCGAAAATCTAATTGTGTGAAAGAAGTTGAAAAATTACAAGAAAAGCGAGAAAAAAGGAGACTGCAACAACAAGAACTTAGAGAAAAAAGAGCCCAGGTTTGTAACAAACACTTTTTACTTATATACCAACCAAAGACTAAACTATATCAGAGAAAGTGATTTGTGGAAAGAGGTTTTGATTTAGAGAATTTAGACAATTCCTTAAATTAAAAATACATAAAGAACATTCAATAGAACTATTCCATAAGTCGACATTGAGGAATAATTTACATTTGTGAAAATAAGTTGCCATACAGATTTTTATTACATATGCTTTTCATGTTTTAGTATGTGTCAGCCCCAGATTTAGTCCTATTTTTAATAAAAAGCCATTGTGTTACAAAATTCTAATTACATATTATAATAGTCAAAACTAATAGGTGTTTGATTTTTAAAAGATGTAAAAAAATTTTTTTAATGATGTAGAAAAAAGAATATTTGGAAAAATATTCAGTTAAGTTCGATGATTATACTATAAATTTTCTTTTAGTTATGTTCAACTTGTCATAACAGAAGAAGAAATTTTTTTGTTTCAATTTATACTATTGATAGATACTGAGTGGCTTTCTATTGTGTCCCTCTCATTCCTTTCTGATGGTAGCAAAATTGTTTAATAACAATGTAAATATTGCATAAATAACTGCTTAATTTATCCCTGTACAGGTTTTCACATGTTAGAAATTTTGTTATTGTGCATGTCATTCCTCCATTATGTTTGCATTGTATCAACTATATCCTCAGAACTCATATTCTGTGATAAACATCAGAGTTGTTTATCAGTAGTATATTCAGATGCCCTTAAACACATTGAACTACCACTTCAGATGTGCTGTGAATTTGTGGGCCCAGTGTAACGTTTAACCTGAATACATCAGCTTATATCTGATTGACCTGAGAATAACCAGTTGCAATAAACAGATTAACTAGTGATAGTTAGGACAGATGCCACCTGGTGTTTCCTGTAGGTACTTCATAATACTGACACATCTCTGTGATTTCTTCTTGCTTTATAGTCTGCTTCTCAGTTGACATAGTTGGTATTATTTCCTAGAAGGTTTGCTGAAAGTAGATTTTGTTAGCAGTTTTGAAATTTAGTTACATTCAAAGCAAATCTGAAGATGATGTGTTAAAAAAAAACTGCATAGAATGTCCAGGAATTTATTATTCATGGCTTAGAGAGGCTATTGACTTTTACTGTATGTAACTTAATCTGAATTTTCTCATTTTTGAACCAAAAAAGTAAATTGCAGTTAGCATTTAATAATTCAAATTTTAAATATTTTTAAAAAGTATCTTGTTTACAATTCCTTTAAATTTTGTGTCCTGTCAATTTGTGTCCTCTGTACTTTCATACATGCCTTAGTTTTTTTTTTTTAAGAGGGTCAATAAAAATAAATAAATGTAAGTGAATTCATATTTCTACTTTGCTAGAACACCTATTTAAGAAATGAGAACAATCTGATTAACTGAATTTTTTTATAATTTCAACTTTTCTAGAGTTCTTTACCAGTGTTTTAGATGAGTGCTATTGTTCCTCAGCTCCATTTTCTAGGATAATTAAGGTATACTGGGTGGATTGTTTAAGTTGGTAATGAGTGACTTTAATGAGGAATCAGGTTTCTAGTTAGCAGGATTTCTGCAGACTTAAAGAAGTATGTGACAGATTTAAAGAAACTGTATGATAGCTTCAGTTTGGGTTTCGGCTCGGTTTTGACAAATGACAATCTATTTTCCTTTTAATTTTTAAACTACATATAGCATAAATGCAGCAAGTACCACATAATAGTAATTAAAATAAATGGTGATTCTCTTTGTCTTCTAATAGGATGTTGATGCTACAAACCCAAATTATGAAATTATGTGTATGATCAGAGACTTTAGAGGAAGTTTGGATTATAGGCCTTTAACAACAGCAGATCCGGTAAGTTTGTAAACCATTGCGCTGGGACTTTTTATACTCTTTAAACATGCTTGAGGGCCAGCCCATTGTGAGGTGGGTAAGGGACCTGAATCCCACATGGCCAGCTTTGTGGTTTGATTCCCAGACTAGGCATCTTGAAAAACATTCTGGGTGTGTATACTTTATGTCTCGAAAATCCAAAAGGAGAGTGAAATGGGGGAGAAGAGACTGAAGTGTGACTGTTCCCCTATTGGGGTGGGTGCTTTCTCACTTTCCCTTTCCCTCTCTGTCTTTCTCTGATGAATGCCTGTGCCCTCTGGTAATTAAAAAAAAGAAAAGAAAAAAAACATTTTTGATACCCATTAAATTCATATTCTATCTAGCTATATAGTTTTTCCTTTCCCATGGGTGCTCATTCCTTGTATAAAAAAAAATCAAGAAATTGTTCACTTATTTATGCTCATCTTCTATAATTTACACATTGGAGATGCTGCCTACAGAGATGTTTTCTTCAAAGCAAAGCCTTCCTGTCTTTGAAATGGTAAAGCAACAATTAAAGGACCAATGTCAGAAGACCCAGTGTCCTTTCTGACCATCGTTTATATATATATATATATATTTTTTTTTTTTGGAGAGGGTTTTGCTATAGGATGCATGCACTCGCCAGACAGAGAGAGAGAGACAGAAAGCAAGAAATCATCCCCCAGGGGGGATGGTCACGCCGCAGTCCCTTCTCCTCCATTCTCCTCTCGGGATCTTGGGCATGCACGCACACACGCCCGGCATGAGTTTTAAGCCACCAGGTCCGGGATGCGAACCGTGGTTGACTACGTGGAAGTCCAGCGACATAACCATTACGCCAACTGCTGGTTCCCACCATCGTTTATATTTTGATTTCAGTTCTAAGCTTTTTTCCTTTTTGGCTTGGATTTTTGATCTTGCCATTCCAGTTTAACTATTAGTTAACTTGTTATTTTTAAACAAATATTATTCTGGAGCAGTAAGTTGTCATTGTTGAGGACCACAGTAGACCAGAAATCTAGTTCTTGAAAAATATTCTGCTGTCTTATTACTCAGTTCCTTTTCCTCATGAAGAATGAGAACTTATTGGACAGGGAATACTTTTGTGAGTAATTGGTAATTATGAAAAATAATCCATCTGATCTAGTATGTACAGGTTACCAGAAATAATTTGTGTTAGGTGTACTATCAAAATATAAGACTTTATAGAATTATTGTTCATGACATTTGTACTCCATGTATTTTAGGTCTTAGAGTCCTTTGTTTTTTTCATTCATTAACTACATCTGAGCTCATGCATTAGAAGAGGAATTGGCAAACTTTCTAGAAGGGTCCAGATAGTTAATATTTTTGGCTTTCAGTCCCTACTTTTTGTTATTATTATTAAAAGGAGGTATGTATTAGGAACATATGAAAAATATTCGTACATAAAAATTGACATACTTATAATATCATTCAAATTATGTTGCCAGTAATCTGAGAGTCCTGTTTTTAGCCTGTAGTTATCTATGCCAACAACTGTCCCTGTAATCGACCTGAAAATAAGACACATGGTAGAACAGGAATTTTTATTTTTGTTCCATACAGCACATTTTACGTGAAAAAGGCTGGGGCCAGCTAGGTGGCATGTTGGTTAAGGAGGCTGGATACCACCTGGCCAACTGTGCAGTTGAGTCCCAGACCCAGCATCTTTAAAAACATGCCTGGCACAGGTGTGGGCATGCCCAAACTCCCAAGAAGAGAATTGAAGAGGGGGGATTGTGGCGTGGCCATTCACTCTGGGAAGTGCTTTCTCACTTTCTTTCTTTCTCTCTCTGTCTCTCTCTGGCAAACGTATATGCCCTATAGCAAACTTAAAATAAATAAATAAATAAAAATAAAGTGAATAAGGCAACTTCTTAACATGAACTCAGCTAATACTACTGGAACAGTAATACCCTCTACAAAATTATTTTCCAAGGTATGCTTTACCAAATAACAAAATAAGCACGTTTCCATTACCCTGAAAATTTTAGAAATAATTATGTCTGACTCTGATGAAAATTTGTGTGGGCTAATTTGTTCTTTAAGCTTAAGTGTCATATTTATACTATGTATAAATTTTTAAAACCCTTGGAGGAAATATTACCTAGTTTACTTTTCAGTCTTATACATACTACTGATAATAACTGAAATAAAATATTTTTGATTTTTAGATTGATGAACATAGGATATGTGTTTGTGTAAGAAAACGACCACTGAATAAAAAAGGTATGATGATTAATGACTTATAATAAAAGGTAGATTTTATCTTATTTGCAATATATTTTGACAATAGCAAAAATCAAATTGTTTGAAAAAATTAAATGGTAATCATTTCCATTCATTTGTAGAAAACTGTTAAACAGATTTCTGTGGCTAGACCTGTTGGTTCATTATTCTGATGTGAATTGCTGTTCTTGGTTCTTGCTCTACAATTTTTACTTTGTTTTTGAAATGGTCTTATTAAATGGTATATTTATAGGATATTATCTCTATACTTAATAGATACTTACTTTTATCTAAATTCTTAGTACTTAAGAGAATTTTTGTATATTAATTCAAATGCTATGAAAATTACCAGGCATTGATTTTCATTTGTTCTTTTAGAAACTCAAATGAAAGATCTTGATGTAATCACAATCCCTAGTAAAGATGTTGTGATGGTACATGAACCAAAACAGAAAGTAGATTTAACAAGGTACCTAGAAAACCAAACATTTCGTTTTGATTATGCCTTTGATGACTCAGCTCCTAATGAAATGGTTTACAGGTAGGTAAATTTATTTTAAATCAGAATTTTGTTTCAGTATGTTTGTTCATCACCACCCTGAAACTTACATTTATCTTGGCATAATCTTCCAAAGGTGTAATTTGCTTTTTCTGAGTTTTAACAAATAAAATGTAATAAATTTGTGTGGGCTGAGGGATATTAATACTGTAATGAATACTAATACTTTTTTAAAAAAGAATTATTTTGTTTAACTTTATTTGTTTGTTTGTTTGTTTTAATTTGACCAGAAAGGGACACAGAGAGAGAGAGAAAGTAAGAAAGCAAGCCTCCAGGTGTGGGGCTCACCCTCAGTCTGCCATGTAGGAGTTGAGTGCCCTTACCTACCACGCCACCTGCTGTCCCCCCCCTTTTTTTTTTTAAGAATTATTTTGTTTAACTTTATTTCTTATTTATTTTAATTTGACCATGAATACTAATACTTTTTATTGTTCCCCAAAAGTCAGTTTTGTTAATTAAAATATTATATATTAGGTCATCGGAAAAGTCATGACATAATTTTCTATGCAAAAATGCATCATGACTTTTCTGACAACCCAGTACATATCACAAACACCTCATGTATATGGAGAAGAAATTTATGGATCATGTTAGCATAATGTATAGGAAATGTTAACTTAACCTATAGGAATGGGATGTGGTAGAAAAAGGACTTAAAATTTTTGTGTTTTAATCTCTGTACTAGTAAAGAAATTTAAAATACCCGTTAACACATCAGTCATGAATTTGTCTAAATCTTCACTGATCACATACTACACTTAGGGTTAAAAAAGTTCTATAAATTGGCCAACCACAATGGCATAGCAGTAACATACCACTCAGTGAGGTCTTACGGGAAGGTATAGGTTCACATCTGGAAGCCTCCTTGAGCATGCTAGGTGTGCATATGCATGCCTATGATCCTACTGCTGAGACCGAGGGTAGGATTAGAGTGAAGACCCTGTTGAAGGTGGACCTCTTCCTTCCTCTCTTTTTCTTTCACTCACTCTCTGTATTCCCCTCTCATGGAAGAAATAAGTAATTTATTTTTAGAGTGTTGTAAATCTGTTTATATTTGTCTCATTTTTATCATCTTTAAGCTTAAGGATAGTTTAACAGGGACCAGAAGATGGCATGGTGGTTTGAGGCACTGGCCTCCCACATGATTGACTACAGTTCAAGTCCTGGTCCTGGTAACTTGCTTTCTCACATTCCCTTTCTCTTTCTCTCTCTGGTCAATTTAAAAAAGAATAATTCTTTTTAAAAAAGAAAAATTTTACTGCAGAAGTTCTTATATGTTATATATATATTTAACTTATACACTATTCAAACGTAGGAGTATTATACTTGTTATCCCAACTTTATGCCACTTTCATTCTAGTAGCATTGTTGATTTAGTGTAGAACTGTTTTGTAATTACTCAAATGCTATGTTCTGTTGCCTTTTATTTTATAAAAGTGACTGGAAAACGGAAGATAAAAGTTAATAGTAATCCTGACAATTGAAAACATTACAAATAAAATACTGTTGAGACCAACTTCATTGACCTTAAGCCAGTAAACTGGAAATTCATTTATAAAGAAGATATGAATGGTAGAGAGAGATACAATAGTTTTCAAAATCAATTTATTGTCAGAAAAGTCATGATGCATTTTTGCATTTCACATCAAAAATATGTCATGACTTTTCTGACAACCAAATAAGTAAAGGTGTGTTTCTCTGTATACAATGGATGTAATAAAATTATGTCATCCTGTATTTATGCTTCTTAACTGTACCCATATTTATACTTATCCTCTGTCCCTTATACTTAACTTTTATGGATTGAGGAGTTACACTTTTTTTTGTCTAATCACTCTGTAGACTGTATTTTAGAGTTGTGTGACCAGAACTGTTTGCCTTAGGCAATAACAAACAAAAGCCAATAGAGAGATATCCAGTGTTCCAATTGCAGATTTATTATCCGTCATATTTTTTAGTGCTGTTCTCAGTGAAGAAGTATTTCTTATTTCTGCCTACTTTTTATTTTAACTCTAGTAATGGATTATGCCAGTAAATTTGAAAAATACTAGGTCATCAGGAAAGTCATGATGTATTTTTCTGTTTTCTATGTATAAATGTGTCATGACTTTCTTGATTAGTCAGTAGTCCAAGCCATAATATTTAGGCATCATTTGCCTGGATCAAAACGACCAACTCAGAATTCAGAGTCTTGTAAGCATAATTTATATTCTTTCCCCTTAATTATAAATTATTTGTCTACAAGGGATCAACAGGTGGCAAGGTGGTTAGGATGCTAGACTACCACATAGCCAATCAGTTGGAGTCCCAGATGCACGTGCGTGCATGTGTGCGTGCATGCCCAAAATCCTGAGAGGAGAATGGAGGAGAAGGGATTGCAGCATGTTAGCCCCCCTCCTGGTTGATTCTTACTTTCCTTCTCTCTTCACAAGTGCACACACACTCTATGGCAAAAACCTAAAAACAAATAAATTACTTATTGATAAAGTAGTTATTTTTCTACATATTTATCTAAAGGCGTTTTCATAGTTTTTTTTTTTCCACTTGCTTTTGTCTGTTGAGATTACCTTTGGATTCTGTTTCTTTTGAAATTGTAATTGATACTTTATTTTTATTGTACATGCATCATTATTGTGACTATTCTTATGTAATTATTGCTTGAAATTGTGGGGTTTTTTTTTTTTGGAGGGGTTTTTTGCTATAGGGTGCATGTGCTCGCCAGACAGACAGAGAGAGACAGAAAGACAGAACGCGAGAAATCACCCCCCAGGGGGGATGGCCACGCTGCAATCCCTTCTCTTCCATTCTCCTCTCAGGATCTTGGACACGCACACACACGCACCCGGCATGAGTTTTAAGCCACCGGGTCTGGGATGCGAACTGTGGTCGACTACGTGGGAGTCCAGTGACATAGCCATTACGCTAACTGCTGGTCCCGAAATTGTGTTTTAAATAGCTTTATACAATCCCTAGTTAGCTTTCTTTTTAAAAAATTTTTAACAAACCAAATTTAGGATACAGTTATTTAACATTTTTTAAGTTGAACTTTTGTTTAAAATCTGACTATTGGTCAGATGTTAGTATAGTAGTATCACAACACTGTGTATCGTACTGGACTCATGTGGGAGAGTCTCAGCTTTGCATCCCCAGGCCTTCTGTACATGCTGGATGTGTGTGCACATACCCATGATCTGGGTTGACTGAGGCTTAGGGTAGATTAGTCTGGATGCCTTTTGGGGGGGGTGTTTATTTCTCTCTCTCTCTTTGTCATGGAAGAAATAAACTTTTAAAAAATGTGCATTAAAGTTTACTTACTAATAAAATGAACTCTTCATTACTTGATAGTACTTTCATTTAAGTCAAATATTTGTAACATGTTCTGACAGATGTATTTTATTTTTAAGGTTTACTGCTAGACCACTAGTAGAAACCATATTTGAAAGGGGAATGGCTACATGCTTTGCTTATGGGCAGACTGGAAGTGGAAAAACTCATGTAAGTCATTCATAAGTTACAACTTGGTATGAAGGAATGGTTTCTTTTCTGTACAGCTTAATTCTACAACCTAAATTCTTAGCACTTACTTCTAAATAATGTCTATTCTTTCCTTTATTTTCTCTTTAAAATATAGACTATGGGTGGTGACTTTTCAGGAAAGAACCAAGATTGTTCTAAAGGAATTTATGCATTAGCAGGTAACTTTTTTTTTGCATATATATAATTTTTAACATTCTTGAATATTATTCAGGTGCCTTTGATTGAAATCAAGCTTTAAAGTATTGTACAATAACTTTAGTGCTATACTTATTGTATATTATACCAATTACAGGTTATCAAATTGCTTGAAAAGAATTGTCATATTAAACATTTGGGGGCAGAAATCTTGATTATATTTGTGTCAATGTAATCTGGAACATTGTTAGGGATTAGTATTAATTCTTGAATGACTGAATTGCAAAAAGCCTCTGTTTGGCAGTTATGAGAATAACCTTATTAATACTACTTTTGAAAAATCGATATTCACTTAATCTTTGTGTTTATTATTTCATACTATCATCCTAGGTAAAGATTAACCGATTCCTCTAAAAGTAGAATAATTACTTTATAAAAATAGTATTTGTTGCTTCTTAACAATTTAAGAAATTTAATGAGATTTAATGACATTCTTGACAGCTCGAGATGTCTTTTTGATGCTAAAGAAGCCAAATTATAAGAAGCTAGAACTTCAAGTATATGCAACCTTTTTTGAAATTTATAGTGGAAAGGTAAGTGTGAGTTTTTAAAAATTCTTTTCCTTTTTTTAGTTGCCAGAGGGCACATACACTGCCAAAGAGAGAGAGAGAGACATATACCCTAGTGAATATAGTCACACTGCAGTCTTTTTTCTCCATTTCTCCATCCTGTCAAGATTTTGGGCACAGGTGCCACACATACCCATCATGTTTTTCAAGTTGCCAGGGCCAAGGTTCAAACTGGTCACCTTGTGGGATGTAGCTCCCTGTGCTTAACTGCTTAACTGCTGTGCTAGTAGCTGTTCTTCATATTTTTAATTGTGATAAAATGTGCATGAAATAAAATTGATCATGTTAACCATTTTTAAGTGTACAGCTCAGTGACAGTAAGTATATTAACATTGTTGTGCAACTTTTACTGCCACAAACTTCTTATTTGTATTAGAATATTATGTTAGAATTTGTATTATGAGACTTTTAAAAAATGTCTTTTAAAACGCTTCAACTTTAATGTTAAGTGTTATGTTAATAATAGTTATTATTTTAATTTCTGGAATAATATTCAGACTGAGTGACTTATTTTTATGTAACTGATACTTTTTTTTAATTTATTTTCCAATTTGAATGTGATTTTTCATAGGTGTTTGACTTGCTAAATAGGAAAACAAAATTAAGAGTTCTAGAAGATGGGAAACAGCAAGTTCAAGTGGTGGGATTACAAGAACGGGAGGTCAAATGTGTTGAAGACGTACTGAAACTTATTGACATAGGCAACAGTTGCAGGTAAATCTCACTTTAATTAAAAGGCAAACTTTGGGAACCAGCAGTTAGCGTAATGGTTATGTCGCTGAACTCCCATGTAGTCGACCGCAGTTCACGTCCTGGACCCGGTGGCTTAAAACTCACACCGGGTGCATGTGCGTGCGTGCCCAAGATCCCGAGAGGAGGATGGAGGAGAAGGGCTTGCGGTGTGAACATCCCCCCTGCGGGGTGATTTCTCACTTTCTGTCTCTCTGTCTGGCGAGCGCACGCGCCCTATAGCGAAAAAACCTCTCAAAAAAAAAAAAAGGCAAACTTTAGTCTTAGGTACTTTGTGTAGGCATAAAAACAAAGCAGGGTGGGGCCAAATGGTGATATAGTGATAAAATTCTATGCTCTGCAAGGCATACATGGTAAGGTTCTGGGTTTGCATCTGTAGACCTCCCTGAATATGTCAGGTATGTGGACTGGCTGAAGCTGGGGGTGAGTCTCTGCATCAGGACCCTGTTAGGGATGCTATTTCTCTATTTTTCTCTCTGTTTCTCTCTACCTTCTAGCTCACTTACAGAAGAAATGAAAAAATAACTTTTTTAACATGTGAATTTAAGTGACATCTATTATTTTGTTATCACATTATACATATGTTAGAAGTATACAGATTTGGGACCAGCAGTTAGCGTAATAGCTATGTTGCTGAACTCCCAGGTAGTTGACCGCGGTTCAAGTCCCAGACCCGGTGGCTTAAACTCATGCCCGGCACATGTGCGTGTGTGCCCAAGATCCTGAGAGGAGAATGGAGGAGAAGGGATTGCCGCATGGCCACCCCTGCTGGGGGGTGGGGGGGAATGATTTTGTGCTTTCTATCTCTCTGTCTCTCTGTCTTTCTGGTGAGTGCATGCACCCTATAGCAAAAACCTCTCAAAAAAAAAAATATGCTGATTAAATTGTGTGAATCTGGTTATATTAGAGTGTCTCTTCTGTTGATGAAAACTGGCTTAATAGAGTTTTTGTGTTACATTTTTTTAAAAAATAAAAATATTATAATTCAAACATGTAAACTAAAGTTTTATATATCAGTATGTCCTTAATCACATTGTAGAACATCTGGTCAAACATCTGCAAATGCACATTCATCTCGGAGCCATGCAGTATTTCAGATTATTCTTAGAAGGAAAGGAAAACTACATGGCAAATTTTCCCTCATCGATTTGGCTGGAAATGAAAGAGGAGCTGACACTTTCAGCGCGGACAGGCAAACCAGGCTTGAAGGTGCTGAAATTAATAAAAGCCTTTTAGCACTCAAGGTAAATAAGATATATTTAATTCTGAAAGATTTACTTTTGACTTTACTGAGTACAAAATAATAGTTCATATTTTACCTAATAAGATAGGTTTTCAAAATTCAGTTGTTAATATTTACAGTTCAGATACTAGTGTACTATAAGAGATTTCCTTGCACACATTATTCATTCTTTTAGATGTGGTAAAGGATAGGAGTGGGACTGCTAATTCTGAGGATCCCTAGGTAATTTTCATATGGCCTTAATCAGGCATATTTTTTCTAGGAGGGCAAGGAACTACAGAATTAAGCTAAAAAATTCTTTCTAAGATAATGTAGAATGACTTTTGAAAAGTTCAACCAGGTTATATTTCTTTTTCCTAGCAAAGTAATGGTTGGAAGGATTACAATAAAGCATTCTGTGTGTGTGTGTGTGTGTGTGTGTGTGTGTGTGTTTTGAGTACTTTTAAAGCTGAATATTTTTACAGTTAGCCTACTGCTTGTAACTTATAAACACTAGTCTGAATTTCTGGAAATATCTTTGGAATAATGAAGTAGTTTTCCTTGTTTTTCATTCTCCTGAACTAGCATTAATGGGAACATCTTTATTATGCTGTAAAATTGTTAGTAGAATTTTCAGAGCTGATCAGATTTCAAATATTATTTAGAGTTATAGTAAGAGACCTTTAAAAATATGTTAAGATTACTCTTTATAAGAATGCCTAACCTGTGAGACTTGCTTTCTTAATTTTCAGGAGTGCATCAGAGCCTTAGGTAGAAATAAACCTCATACTCCTTTCCGAGCAAGTAAACTCACTCAGGTGTTAAGAGACTCATTCATAGGTGAAAACTCTCGTACCTGCATGGTAAGTTTCTGTTTGTTGTTTGTTTTGTTTTATTTATTTGCTTTGTTTTACTTGTTTTAATTTAATCCTGAAGGAACAACTACAGAACATCTATGGAAAATTATATATTAATGGCAATCATTTGACTCTTTTTCTGTTGGGTTGTGGGAAAAGTAAGTCATGGTGCATTTTTGCATAGAAAAATATGTCTTGACTTTTCTGACAGCCCCAATATCTAGTTAAAATGTGGCTCATACTAGTCTTTTAGAGAGGACTATATTGCATCTTTTATGTATTTTACTTACTTCAGCATCTGGGTCTTCTTGGGACTGTTTTGATTTCCTCTTTCCTTGAGTATGGGTCACACTTTTCAATTTCTTCATATGTCTATTAATTTTGTGTTATTTTTTATATATAGATACATGTGTATATATGTGTGTGTGTGTATGTGTGTGTAAAATGTATGGCTACTTTGTAGAGACTCTGGATTCTGTTACATTTTTCTTAAGATAGTATCGGCTTTTTGTTGTCTAAACGGAAGTTAGCTTGACAGAACTTATTCCAAACTCATATCTTCCCTATTATGGGCAGCAGCTGAAATTATTATCTTTACACCCAGCTATGTTTCTTGTTTGCCTTGTGTATGCCTTGCTCAAGAGTCAGCCAATGATTTGAGTGGTTATATGTAAAATTTGAGTTTCATTCTCTGTGGATCTCTGCCTTGTAGGACAAATTTAACTTTTCAGTTACTGTGGTTCCCAATCTAAAACCATGTCCTTCCGTTTCTTAACCAGTGACACTATAAGCTTTTAATCAAGTTGTAGTTATCCTGGGTGATAGCAGCAGGGCATACCCTCTGGAAAAAAAATTGCCTTTTTTTTTTTTTTTTTGAGAG